ACTAACACTGTGGTCTCACGAATAGACATGAGGTGTTAACCTTATAAACAGGGGCGTCTTTAAGGTTCAAACTATAACATACAACTACAAATAACTATCAATCACATTATCTCACAGCATGAATAGATTGTACATCAGAGAAGTGTGGGATAGGAGGAATATAGGCTTTTGTCATTCAAAATGCAATGATAAAGCTTAGAAGAATTTGAATACTCGAGAAGAGATCAAACTAATCAGAGATCAATCGATACTCTTGAAAACGGTGCCGTGTTGTCCGTGGAATTTTTCCACGTCATTTTCATTTCTAACGCGTGGAAAGTTCACGCGGTCGGTTTTATTTGAGGTGGTCTGTTTCACAAAGAGAACGTGAGTTTCAAGACTTATTTCTTCAAACATTGTTTATTATTAATTATAATATATATGCTCCGCCCACTTTTTCGCGCGAGTCTTGCTGAGTAAAGGTTACAAAGAAAACTTATATCAATAATAAACAAAATTCAAGATAGAACATTGACTGGGATAATGGGCGCGTTGTATAGAAAGTGGTGCTTCGTTTTCTAGCTTTTCATATAATTAGCGAGTATATTTCTATGAGAACAAGTTCACATTTAAGCATTATTGCAGATTCGTCTATTCAACGTTCAGTTCAATCAAATGTTCAAAATGAGAAGGAAAAAGGAAGCTTTTGTGAATGAAATGAAAGAAATCATGAGGAAAGTTGGTAAGAGTTATTAGAAAGGGAGAACCCAGGTGTGTTACTCCCCTCATCCATCTGTCTCTGCTCTCCAAGCCATGTAATGCTGTATGTGGCTGTAACCATGGAAACATCTTATATTCTGCTTCTTCGCGCATTCACATTGCCAATCATTTTCATTTTGAAGTAGAAACTAAGAAACTACCGAAGAAAGGCCTTTCTTTTCCATCCATCTTTTCCTGAATGTTCTTTGAATCACTCTCTATATATGTATTATTACAGGATATATCATTGAATTCAAAGAAGTCAACTCATCATCACATCATGTCCATAATTGATAATTCGACAAAAATGAAGAAAAATCAATACCGAAATAGGTATTTCAAGGTATTTTTCTTTTTCTTTTTGTTCTTTCGTGAAGCGTTCATGAGGACACCTGATACTCTGTCTACTGTTTATGTACCAATACCCCATTTACAGATAACTTCCGCTTCAGTACGAAGTTTTGAAGAGGAAATCTCCTTAATACGCTTACTACATCTGCAATCAGCTAAGAAGTTCGTTTTTCTTTGTTTCATTTCCCGAGTCAGTCTTGCTCACCTCACTCTAGCTTCTCACAGTGATTCTGATCTAAGACAGTTAGAGTGATCTTACTGTACGTAGTTATAGTAAATCTTTCTTAAAAAATACGCAGAGTCCCTCTATTGCGCGCGAAAAGAGGGGCGGGGGCTTGTACCCGGGTTCCTCAAGTAAAGATAACTTTTTTCTTTTTTTTTTTGATTTTTTCAGTTTTTTTTTCATATGATTCATTTTTAAGAGTTTCTTCCGGTTGTTCCAAGTCGCCAAGCATGTCATTAAACGGAGAGCCCATAATGGGTCAATCATCTCGTGAGTTTCTATTCTCCAATATTATGATAATGATAATGTATCTTAGTCCCTCCAAAATCTCCTGGACGCCGTTGGAGGAGCACTTTTGAGGTTTTCATTCACTGTGAGTTAGTTTCTTATTTGAATTTACAGGATATTGATTCATCTTTAACAAGTACACCTATTATGGAGGATAGTATTAGACATAGAAGGTGGGTGATATAATCAAGAATGTAAACTATGTAATGAGTTAGTTCCAGAGTTAAAATCATTGTTTCACCTTTATGCCGCACTTTGCGAAGCCCCGGATCGGACGGTGACGGATCTCTTCTCTCTCCAATATACAGCGTTAGTTTATTTTGGGTTTTATACTATTATGGTTATGAGGAGTTAAAGATAGGGGGGATTTTTTTCTTAAGAGGGTTAGGCTAGAAAGACTTGTAATTGAAAATATCTGGTCAAGGTGAGAATTTGTGGTTGAAGTCCAATTGTTACACCTTCAAGTCATTAGCGTAACTGTCGGCAAATTAAATTAATGTCGGAAAGTTCAAATTGTTGGAAATTGACTTTTGATATAACTTAGCCTATTTAAAATCGTAACTTATAATTATCTAATTGTGGAATAAGTTCTGGTGGACTGTTAAGTTGTTGGACGCTTTTCGATCTGAAGGAAGTTATGTTTATAATTCCTTCAGATTTTCTTGCTAGTTTAAAACTTTTTATTTGTAGCGGAAGCGTTCTGCTTCATTGAAAACACATTTATTCGAACATTTCTTTAATTATCTCCATCATTCATGAGACAATTCTTTACCTAATGCTTTTTTTGTTAGCTCTTCCTCTTCTTCTCGACTTTGCGATTGACTGACGCGACCTATTCTGCCAGCCAGCGTAAACAGCGGAGCCTCTTCCTTTCCCTAAGGCACGCTGTAACAATACCCTGGGTCTTTGAAAGTCTTGCTGTGCAGACCCGTGTTGCTCGCTTTTGTTTTTCAAATTATTTGTTCTTCCTTTAATTAGTCCGTCTCTCATTCGCACCCTAAATCTGTCATCGATTATATCATTGACCCTTTACTTCCATTTTTTTCTATCGCTCAAGGATTCATTGTGATAGTTGAATTAATCTGTTTCTCAAGCACATTGCCATTTCGAGTCTGTCAATGTCACTTATTCCTTTGACTCGATTGAAATGATGACTGAGCGTTGATTGTCTTAACATCATTTCATTAGGCTTTCATTGATTCATTCATTCATTATCTATGTCTTTTCGTTTATGTTTCTCATTACTCTGCGAATATTGATTACAGGTCATCCTGAGATATGCATTCATCCTCCCTTCCTTCCATCCCCACGGTGTAAACTATGCTTTAAGCATAATAAAGCATAGTTATTCCCATTGAAAATTAATCATTTGTTGTATTATTATTCTCCCACACAACCATAACTTTTCAAATGCTTACGTGATGACCTAAGTCTTTTTGATTATTTCTATCAGATGTCGCGCACTTTCTTTCAAATGAACCGAAAACTAGGCTAAATCATGACAGGCAACTCTTACATTTCCTGAATTTTTGAAAAGAATTTCTTTTTTTTTCTTTTGAAGTTGTTCCTTACCTTCTTCATTCAATCTCCTCTCATACTCCCTTTATATAATTTGTCTTTTTGACTCTTTTATCCTTCGTTTTTAGAAGGTTTTGTCTTTTGTAAAAGAAAAGTTACGATCAGCATGTAAAAGTCTGTCGTGGCTTCTATTAAGCCTTAATTCAAACATCGACTGTTAACAGTTGTGTGTATGAGTGAAGATTTACGGAAACTGTACTTGTTCCTTCTTATTTAAAAGTTTAATTTCTATTTTTCTTTCTATAATCTATCACTTATTGCTTTGATGATCTTTCATGTTAATAATGCTGAATTCATCATAGCATTGAACGCCCTACTTACATCCATTTCTTGATTACTTAGCTGGTCTTCTTATGATGTTGCCTAATAGCCATTGCAAATTGATTTTTTTGGTCAGCATTTTGTAATACTATATTAGTTTTAATTTTTTAAATATTTTATTTCAAATATTGACATCATATATCTATGACTTGATTTGCTGCCAGCTAGTCCTTCCACTTATGTTTTCAAGTGTTTGAAGTGTCGCAGTTCTGATAGGTTTCACAACATGTGCTTATCTTCTCTCTGATTTGATGATCAACGTGATCATCATTATTATCTCTTGTTGGTTTCGTCGTGATTTTGTCTATATGGAAGACAGCTACTAGATACTGCCTTTTTTTCAGAGATAAGGCAGTGAGTATCCTGTAGATATTCGGCTGATATCGAATGTATCATCGAGCGGAGCAGTATGGAACAGGTGTCTATGATGTTCCGCCAGCTCCGTCTGGGGTCGTGTTTCCATCGGAAGTTCGTCAAAGTTATAGCGGAGGTGCCGATGAGTATCGACCACGATCTCAAAGTGCAGACACAGGGCGTTATAGTTCTTCTGTAGAGTTTGCAAGCTCAAACCGTCGTCGACCTTATATAGAAGAACATCACGATGACTATCCTAGCTCTGGAATTGTTACATATGGTGCCGCATCTGCTGGTAGTTCTGCATTGAGCAATTTCAAGCAACCATCACCACCCCCTCGACAACAATCTCATTATGTAAACTTTCCTTCTAGTATACGTGAGAACCAGAGTGTACCTGGACCATCAACTGTACCAGCCGGCTCCACCCACAATTTCACACAGCATCTGAGAGAACGTTCACCATCTAGTAGCTCAGCTCTGCTTAATCTTCTCCAAAGATACCCATCAGCTCGTCAATCAGTGTATAATGAAGCTAATAAACTTCTAAAGAACGATCACCCGAAGAATAATTCTACAGCTTTACCTAATTATCAAGAACGTTCAGCATTTGTTTCATCAAACGCAGTCTTGTCATCATTGCCGTCGTATCCAGCTGGTAGCACTGCGCTGCTTCACGAGAACTCCGCGATCGGTACTGGCACTCTGCCTAAGCCATCACCAGCTGCTAGTCGTCGCACTTATTCTCTGCCTACAACTGAAACTTGGAGTATCCCCTCCAGGGAACAGCCTGGGCTCACCAGCTCATATCACAGCGAGTATCGATCGTCACCTGTTAGCTCGAAATTTTACGAATCGCCACAGTCCATTGGTCCTCTCTCTTCTCACGCCCAGCAGCAACAGCAGCCGCAACAGCTTCAACCCTATCACCAGCATCACTCACAGAATATTAACCAGCGTGTTCCTATACCACAGACCGATAATAAGCAAAGTTTTTTCGGTTCTCCACAAACGTCTTCTACTCCTTATTATCAGAATATACCTTCTAGTCTAATTCAAGATTCTGAGTTCAACTATAGGTCACAACCACCTCATAAATTTTATTCCGCTGAAAGTAATAATAACCTACCTCTACCCCATCATCTTGGGAATTCCATTAATTGGCCTGATCCGTCAGATATTACACAGTTAGATTCTCTACTCAAGTCTGTGCTACTTCTGAATGAAGACGCTGACATGAATCGTTCGACCAACGAATGGCGGAACTCCTTTGCTCAGATGAAAGAGAAGTTCCGTAACACACCTTTTGAAGAGCAAGCAAATGGTTTATACAATAATTTTGCAAGCTCCGGAGCCCCAACTCTACCTCGTAGAGGCGGTCCACTTCTTTCCAAATCTTCTAGTCATCATGATGTACCTGAGTCATCGTTACTAGCAAAAGCTGTCCAACGACGTGCTTCAGAAGCTCCTGACCATAGTCGTTCAGGAGCAATCGATACATTCTGGTCTGCTACTGTTGCGTCAAGACCTCAATCACCTACCATTCAGCGTTTACCTACTTTAACTGCTGCTGAGCGCTTACAAATGCTTCAAGAGCCTACAAACGGTCCTTCAAACAATTTTAGAGGATCTGTTGAACATTTGACAAATGATGGCAAGTCTTCATTGGCTGCTCGACGAGATCTATATATGAATGGAGTTGCCAACTCTAATTTCACCGGCTCAAATGTGGGACATCACCTGGACGCTGGAGCTGTTTCATCACCTAATTTTGCAGAATTAGATAGTGCAGTCAAAGAGTTAGGCGGTGGCGTTCGTTCCACTGGCTACTCTCATAGTGCTAGACGACTGGGAGGTTGTGCACGTTTTCCGACTGATGAGCATGCTTTCAGCCCACCACGACAAGCTGGTTTAATTACCAATCATTTTCGTCTCATGAATTCTCCTAGTCCATCAGATACTGCTAGCGAAACATCATCTGTTTATCAAGTTCCAACTGGACTTCCCCATCCCAAACCGAAGCATAACATAAAAGAACAGCTTCATCAGCTTCAACAACAGCAACAACAAATAAACGGCTATTATCCACGCTCTGGTCTTGTGAAAACGTCACCCAACTTTCCTGTGCCAACTACGGGAAGTGTTGCATCTCGTATAACCGAATTTGAAAAACGACCGGGAACACCTACTCTTCATGTGCTAAATGTATCCAGTCAAGAAAAAATTATTCCTACATCTAATTCTATGAGCCCTAAAAGCTCAGTATTCCGTGCTAAGCCTGTGATTCACGTGGACTTGGGTTCTCATCATACAAGATCACCACATCATGAAACAACAGCTATTGAGTTTCAGCAAAAGGTTAGTCAAGTATTCTATTTACTAACAAGATATGCTGTGTACAACGGACTGTTTGCTTTTTCTTCTCTCTGGACTGATTTCTATTGTATGATGTTAAATGGAAAACATGTTATGTTAATATGTTATGGCTACTAATTGTAAAAGTATAACAGGTCATATACATAGCCAGTTGTTTCATCCTACTCCTCATGTGAGACTTGCTATTCAAAACTTATTCAAATTTTGACTTATATTGACCTTGATAGGTAATTTTTTGATATTATGTAATGCTTGAAGTAACAGCTGTTCGTTTTTCCTTTTCTTCGGACATTCGATCGTTTTGAGAACTAATAGTGACAAGAATTGTGAGAGTGGGTGTCTGTCTGTCCATCCGAAATTGATTCAGCTTGTGGGATATAGTTTAAAAACGAGAGTAGCTTCATCCAGCTCTATCACCCTTTCTATACGTAAGAAGTTGAAATTATCTTGAAAAGATATGAAAGGGCCAAAGTTGGCTTTCGGAATGCGATGCTTCTCTGTCTCTGCTGATTCAAAGACGTTATTAGTCATTTTGATTGAAAGTATAGTAGAGAAGGGAAGAAAACAGAAGAAAGTTTATGTGAAACTTACGCAATGCTTCTCTATTGAAAGCATATGCACTTTGCTCTCAATAATCTCACGTTCCAAATAGCTCTATGGTCATTAATGAAATGTGTTGGAATATTCAAGATAGTTAGTTGATTCCAGCGTGAAGAATTCAGACAATTTGTCCATTTAGCTCTTGAGATATTCTGAGAGGTCCTGTCTTCAGCTTTTTGCTTGTCAATGGCTTTCATTCTCGTTTTGTCTGTTCTTCTTCTTCTTCTCCTTCTTCTTGGTCTTCAGCTTCAACGTCACTTTGTTGTTGAAATGTGGATAGTTTGTTAAGAATCTGCTCTTCTTAATAACAGATCTCCAGTGATCTCAAACGGTTCTCCTATGCTTCTCCATAGAGAATCACACTCTTCCTTAATGTTGTTTTTAAAATGCATCTCTAAGTCGTTTCGACTATCGTATGACAGAAATTAAGCAGTTTTTGGATGAAGCCGAAACTTAGCGGCGGCGTTAAAGATACATTAGATGTCCCAATAAATGCATAACAGATATGTTTGTCTTTTCACCATCTCCCACCATCTACTTCAATATGATAATAGAATGGAGCTTGGAAATGAAGAGAGAAGGAATAAGAGATTGGTTGTCGAGGCTAGAAGGCATAGTTTATGACTTTATACTTGACATTTCGTTTTTGTAACACTTTCTATAGTTTTTTTTTTAATATTATTTGATAATACACATAGATGATGAGATAGAATGTTAAATATGTGACGCTGCTCTCTCTCTCTTAAACGTTTTAATGTTGTGATTCGTTTTTGTGTTAGTTGGAACTTCCTAGATGACCCAGTCAAGTGTTTGCACGCTCTAAGTAGGGATATGCCTCGCATTCTCCTTTGTAACGACAATATCTAATGCTTCTTCTATCTATCTTTCTTTGAATTATCTATTATACATAGCGTTTTGTATTTTGTTGAGGAAGATAGTAGCTCGTATTATGAGCGGCGACAGTCTGATTTATCGATCATTTATATGTTACTATAACCATCTATTCTCTTTCCTTTTTATAATACTCTATACTTCTTTTGCTATTTCTGATATGATAGCATGCTATTCTTTAGTTAAAAAGACAGATGTGGCATTGTTCTTTTACAAACAGAAACTGAGCGGTTGATGCAAAAGGATGGCTGAGTAACGAAAGTCATCTTAAACGACAGTCTTGAAGAACTGCATCCGACGTGGTTTCTTTTAACTCTTTGTCCTTTTGCTGAATTTCTTCCGTCGTTTTCCCTTTTCATATGACAATTTTTGAAAACTATACGATGAAATAGATGCATAGTAGTAGTTTTAGGAGATTTTCAGATTAATCTCAGCTACAGTTGTTCTCGTAAAGTTATAACATTAGATGCTTAAGTGGTTGTCCTCCCCGTTCCTTTTTCTCATTAACAGCCGTTTTTCAATTTTATTAGTCTTTTCTCTCTCTCTTTCTCTCTCTCTCTTTCTATGTTTCTCATTCTCCGTTTCTGGCCTTGGAAACTTCAAGGAAGCTCAAATTGATTTGAAATCTCCATTGATAATATTGGTGTTCATTCATTTATACATTCTCTTCTCTTCTTAACTGTCTCAATGAGGGATGATCATTACGAAATTAGTAATTTGATTGTTTTGAAGACAGTTTAGGAGTTTATTTGCAGACTCTCACCTTTGTCGTTTATCTATTCTGATAATTTCATCTTTTAATCTTTTCTTTTTTGATGATAAAACATCTTTCTCTCTCTCTCACTCTCTCTCTCTCTCAAGCTTTGCTTCATGCTTGTAGAAGTCATAAATCTATAAGACAGGGCAGACTTGTTGCGAGTGAGAGTTCCAATTCATCTTCTCTGACGAAATGATGATGATTCCTTCGGTTATACTTTAGAAGGAAAATGATTACTTTTCTCTTTCGTTCTTACATCATCACTTCGTTGACCATCTGATTGTTGAGAATTTATTTTTCTTTTTCTGACTGCAAGACAAGAATCATTCCACCAGGAATGTTTATGTCTTGAAATGTTTCACTGGCAGTCGATTGCTGGAAATGATGTGCTGACACAGTCTTGTAGTTCACAATCGGCTATTTTCTTCTATTCTTTAACCTGAATCTTCTTTTTCTGTCTTCTAGCTTGAGCTTCTCCCGATATTAGCATATTAGTGATTAGAGCAAGTTGAGCAAACACTGTTCTCTTCCTTTGGATGAGCAACATTTAGAGATATATAAATAAGATTGCCTTTGGAAGAGAGAATGTGAGGAGCCGGTTGAGACGCTTTGTTGATGAATACGATGAAAATGAGGGGAAGAAGAATCAACGCTACACATCGTTGACGAAACTTCGCTCTCTTAAACAGTCTTCTGCTCTTTCAAAATATCACTGTTTTTTCACCTGGGTTTCAAATTCTCTTTTCTTCCATTCCAATACCTAACGACAACTCTAGCTTTACTTCCGCAACAATGGTTGCCTTGTTTGTCTGTTTTCTAAAATCTCTTTTCCTATTGGTTCTTTTATGTCGTTTTGGAACTCGATTTGAATTTGGCTTCCACAACAAGAGAATCTCATATTCTCTAATCTATTTTTTTGTTATTCTGATACCCTCTGATGTATTTTTGTGAAATTTCTAGTTTACAATATCTTTTATTCTGGCGAGGTTGCAATTCACGTTGCGAGCGTTTGAATTCTGCTTCAATGGACGGTGAAACTTATGACGCTCAGACCTGTTGCATTTTATCCACCGAACGGTTGCATTCAAAGCTCAGAACGGTTGCATTCGAAGCTCAGAACTGTTGCATTCTATACACCGAACGGTTGCATTCAAAACTCAGAACTGTTGCATTCCACGTCCAGAACTGTTGCATTCAACGCCCAGAGCTGTTGCATTCTGTTTCTCGGACGGTTGCGTTTTGATCCCCCGAATGATTGCATCGTAAGCTTAATATAGTTCTAATTAAAATAAATAGACATTGAATAGGATTATGAAGAAGAAATCGTTGCTATAAACCTTTGATCTGATTTTTACATCGGTACTATTAGTTTGAAACGAATCTTTTGCTCTTAATAGATGCCACATGCGAATTCTTAAGCCATTTTTACACTTCGAAGTTTCCTATTGAATTTTATGTCTTTGCTTTTCTTTTTTATTGTTGTAGTTGGTTTTTCTTCTTCTTTTGCATCTTGCTGCTTTTTCTTTTTCTATTTTTCGTGTCCACTCATTCGGTGGTTTGTGTCCATCTTTTGTTGACAACCATTTAAGCAACAATAGAATAATACGCGACAACAGTTGGACTATCATTCCACCACTCTCCACCTACTAGTTTTATCTTTCTTTATTGGTATCCATCTTTCTATTCTTTTAATTCGTTTTACAAGCTCATTTGTACTATTTCTATAGTCTTTCGGATCACCGAAATCATCACGTCCTTCTGATGAAGGACGTCAGTCGTCCACCTGATGCGGTGCTCTGTGAGTGTTCCATGCTAGCCGCTAGGAAACCTAAAAGGCTACCAAAAAAGGTTCATGATGCAGAGAGACGTTCACGGTCGTTTGGGCAATTCTTAGAAACAATTGTTCGTAAAGTATTTGACAATCAAAGGAAAGCTAAAGAAGTGAGTTCATATGAAAAATGATAAATAAGGAAGTAAAAAGGTATCTTATCCTCGACCTACTTGATTGGACATCTAGTCTCTACTTCACAGCTGGGCGAAACCTGGGTTGTTATTAAACGAGAGTTATGCTATTACACTATACGCTGCTTGTTGTTTTCAAGTTACTTTTGAAAAAAAAAGAACATTAAAGACACTCCCACTTCGAATATCCATCATCACCAAAGCATCATGAAAATGAATTGAGAAGGAGGGGCATGCTCTTCTGGCTAGCAGAGAGAATAGCAGTTGCTTGGAAGATTTTTTCTGTTGATAAAGCACAATTCTCTGTTGTTTCTCCAATATTTTTTCTGAATTATTCCCACTTTATGATATATTCCAAGCAGTTAGTAATTGGATGAGAATTGAACTGTATTTGGCGAGAGCCTTAACCTTGTAAATAGCTTGATGGGGCATGCTTTACGTGAAAATTCTTGTCGCTTGATGAGTACAATGACAAAAGAGCTTCTCGTTTCGCCTCCACGTAATTTGCGTGTTTGGAAGTTACTTAGACGACGAAGTGTAAGTGGTTGTAATCTTGAGTAATAAGTGTGAATATGGTGCAATAACATTAAATAGAAATAATTGCGAGATTTTGATGTTTTTCTTTGCAGGGCACTCAGTCATGGAATGAATCCGCTGATTTGAATGCAACACCTGTTTCAAGGTTAGTTTGGTGAGGGAAGACGTCTTTACAGAACTTTGATGTTTCAGTCTTACAAGAGATTTAAAGAAGCTTGACCTGAATTCGCCTCACGCTGCTGCTACAGTTCGGTAAGTACTTCTGTTACATATATGATTGAAGACATGAAACAGCTTGTTCTTGATATCCATCCCTTCCTATCACTTATTTATAATCTTGCTCTTTGAGATGCGCTTCTATCTCGTACTG